TGCAATGGTGATGCCGTTTTTTGTTCTGTTATTCTGTTTGTTCAGTAGGCTCACTGTGGGTCGTATCGGACGCTATGACACCTCACAACAACAACATAGTTCAGCTGCTCTGTCCAGTGCAGGTTACCCGAAACCCCTTAGATGCCTTGGTGCCTTCTAGGTCTCACAACAAGGAGAACTGGAGACTGTCGCAGACCGCTGACGACTTCTTCTAGAATTGCTACTCTATAGAGTTACTAACCTGACACTTTTAATTTACTGCTTTTTCATCAGCCTAGGTCTTGTATAAAAGTGGAATCAGGGAAAATTTCTCTTGGATTTTAAAGTAGGAAATTCTCCTTTACAAATAACTTGTTCTATCATTTCTAATTGTGACCTCTTTCAAATAAACATTATGTATCTGAGAGACACCAACATTGAAACAAAATCTTTACCACAGGGTGGCTTTTTTTTTTTGTGGCTTTTCTATAACACTTGAAAGAGATTATTTTTTACTCTGCAGCAAGGCACCTTCAGCATGCTCGAAAATGACAGTAGTCATATCACTATTTATGTGTACTTATGTGCCTCTAATACATTCTGATTTTCATAATTTCAGATTTTAATAATAACTATGTTAAGAGCAAAGGAGCCATGGTGGCACTGTGGGATAAGCATCCAGCTGCTAACCACACATTAGTGGTTCAAGCCCACCACCTGCTCTGAGAAAGAAAAATGAATCTGTGTGTTCCTCTAAAAATTAATCATCTTGGAAAACCTGTACAGAGTCACTTTGAGTTGGAATTAGCTCAGAAGCCGTGAATTTGACTTGTTATGTTTAGGAATATTGATCAGTTAATTTTTCACTCTTCTGGTTGAAATCATGTGTCTAAAATAGATTGGAGCATATCTAGTTATTTAATATGAAATTTAAAATATTGTTTAGTCACCCAAATGATTGGTCACTATGTTCAGCTGGGTTGACTAGGTAAACCAATCTAGAGACACTCATATGTGTGTGAGAGCTTTATATCAAAGAGCAATTGTATATTGAGAAAACATCCCAGCCCTGTCCAGAAGTCACCTATTAGCCCATTTGTCCCATACTAGTCCATAAATTCCTCTTTAGACTCACACATCACAAGCACTGATGCCAAATGCAGGAAGATCACAGGACGGTGCATGGAAAGTCTTGTGAATCCAGTGGCAGTGGACGCATCTCCAGGTCTCAGGGTGCCATCAGTGTGGCACCATGTGGTTTGTCAACAGGAAGGTGAAACACAGAGAGAGGGTGGGGTCTGCCTCCAGGTAGAAAGAGAGGAAGTTCCCAGAATCCTCATGATAAGGCCATACCTACCAGGAGGCATCATCAGCCTGTGACCTGACTGACAAGCTTCAATCACTCTATTTATCAAGTTGACATGGAACTGTATAACGACTATAGTCATCAAATGTCAAACAGCTGGTTACTGGAAAACATCTGATGAGTATTACTTTTCTAATTTACAAAATATATAGTCGTGGTTTGCTGATTTGGAATGTTCTTGTTCATGAAGGTGGAGGTTCTGTCACTGCATTTGAAAAGAAAACACAAATGAACTCCTCAGTTCAGGAGCACTGTTTGTGAAATCTGTAATGTGAAGAGAAAAAAATGAGAGCAGACATGCATCGTATAAGCTGAATACTTGGAAAACCCAATGGCAAGAGTTCTAAGAAGAAGGGACTCTTTGCCAAGGGCGGAGCCAGGTACATAAACAATTCTGAAAAGTCTACTTTCTACTGCCTCATCACAATTCTAAGAAACATTAGTAACTGTGTGACTGAATGTTACCAGTTTAAAAATCTTCCAGCCCTTATTAGTTTCAATTAAATTTTCATTGATTACCTATGTGAATATATGTCAATCACAATAGATTCATTATACACTAAGAAGCTTTTATACCTTTTGAGATGCTTATTAAACTTACCCTACAAGGATTGCTTACCATAGTAGAATTTGGCAGGGGTTGGGGGAAACAGGGAGGAGAAGCTGCCTAATGAAGGAATGGCTCAGCATGCCAGGATTTTTCAATTGCAAAATAATAAGTAGATATAATTTCCATGGAATTTTTGTGGACGAGACTGGGAGATGTGAACAAGGGGTGATATGTTTAGAGACATTCAGGCCTGCTTGAACAATCCTATTTGGAGGGTGTAGATAAATCAAATGATGGGAATTTTATTTACTTGAGTTGAAGCCTTTTTAGCTTATTCATTAAAACATATTAAAACAGAAGACTGCATATACATACAAATGTCAGGGAAACAAAGCTGAGAGGAAGAGGTCATCGGTTGACTGGCTAGAGTGGAAAGAAAAAACTGGGGAAGACAACACACACGTTGTTGTGAGATACCATCTAGTCAGTCCTGACTCACAGTGCGCCGCTGTGCAATAGAAGCACTGCCTCATCCTGCGCCGTCTTTGCAGCCAATCCATTTCGTCAAAGGTCTTCCTCTTTTTTCACTGCCCCTCTTACCACTTTACTTTGCTAAAAGGACAAACAAATCTGCCTTGGAAGAAGTACAGCCAGAGTGTTCCTCAGAGGCAAGTGCAGAAAGACTTCGTCTAACTTCAACCATGTTATCAGGAGAGACCAGTCCTGAGGGGACATCATGCTTGACAAAATAGAGGGGCAGTGAAAGAGAGGGAGGCCCTCAAGGAGATGGATGGACACAGTGGCTGAAACAGTGGGCTCAAGCATAGGAACAATGGTGAGGCTGGCGCAGCACTGGGCAGTGTTTTCTTCTGTTGTGGGATGGAACTGACTCGATGGCACCTAACAACAACAATAACAACAACACGTACTACGAGTTTACTAAGCATGCTGCTCTTTTTTAGGGACTGGTTTCTCCTGATAACTCATGTAAAGTACATCAGATGTAGTCTCACCATCCTGGCTTCTAAGGAGCGTCTGGCTGTCCTTCTTTCAAGACCGACATGTCTGTTCTTTTGGCAGTTCACGTTGTTGTTGTTGTTAGGTGCTGTTGAGTTGGCGCTAACCTTTTGTGACCCTATGCACCACAACACGAAACACTCCCCAGTCCTGTTCCAGCCTCATAATCGTTCCTATCCTTGAGGCCATTGTTGGAGCCATGGTGTCAGGCCATCTCCTGGAGTGTCTTCCTCTCTCCTGATGCCCCTCCACTTTACCAGTCATGATGCTTTACTACAGGAAATGCTCTCTCCTGACATGTCCAAAGTACATGAGATGTGTCGTGCCATTCTTGCCTCTGAGGAGCACTCTGGCCATACTTCTTCCAAGACAAATCAGTTTGTCCTTTGAATAGTCCATGATATTTTCAGTTTTCTTTGCCAGCACCAAATTTTAAATGTATCAGTATTTTTCAGTCTTCCTTACTCAATGTCCAACGTTCACAAACATATGAGGCTATGGAAAATGCCACGGCTTGGCTCAGGCACACTTGCGCTCTCAAAGTCACATCCTTGCTTTTCAGTACTCTGAAGAGGTCTTGTGCAGCAGATGTACCGAATGCAATCCACGATATTTTCCATTTTCTTGGCTAGCACCATAGTTCAAATGCATGAGTTCTTCTTTGGTATTCTTTATTCAACACCCAACTTTCACATGCATATGAGATGATTGAAAATACCTTGGGCTTGGATCAGAGCACCTTAGTCCTCAAAGTACCATCCTTGCTTTTCAGCACTGGAAAGAAGTCTTATGCAGCAATTTACTCAATACAATGTCTCCTTTGATCTCTTGACTGCTGCTTCCATTGATGGTAGATTCAAGCAAGACAAAATCCGTGACAACTTCGAACTTTTCTCCATTGGTCATGATGCTACCTATTAGTCCAGTTGTGATGTAAGCAAGATGGCGAGACTGTCTCACGGACTTTAGATCAGGGGTCCTCAAACTTTTTAAACAGGGAGCCAGTTCACTGTCCCTCAGACCCGTTGGAGGGCCAGATTCAGTTTTTTAAAAAAAGCGATGAACAAATTCCTATGCACACTGCACATATCTTATTTTGAAGTAAAAAAACAAACGGGGCAAAAACACCTGGCGGGCCGGCTAAATGTCCTCAGCGGGCCACATGCGGGCCTCAGTTTGAGGACGCCTGCGTTAGATCTTGTTAGAAGAGACTAGTCCCTGGAAAGGGTCTTCATGCTTGGTAAAGTAGAAGTGCAGTGTGAAAGAAGACCCTCGACAAGATGGGTTGATATGGTAGCTGCAATAATGAGCTCAAACGTAAAACCATTGTGAGGTTGACGCAGGACCGGGCATTGTCTCATTTTGTTGAACACAGGGTCGCTATGCCTTGGAACAAAGTCGACAGACTCTAACAACAACAGCAAATACTATCATATGCTAATCTGTATTTCCTTTCTGCACAGCCTGTACATGTGTTTTGTAGTATATGCTACAGACTCAGCTCTTACCAAAGCATCATTGTCCTAGCGATGTCATGTGTAGAGTTTGTTGAACACGTTCTAAGAAGGCTAAGGATTCAAAAGAAATAAACATAAAAGTCTGAGTCAGCTATGTGTTAAAAAGTTCAGTCTTGCATCCTGTAACAGCCACCGTGGGTTCTGTGAAGTAGGACTTTATATGGTTTGAATGTTGTAAGAATACTGTATCATACACAGGCAGTCCTTAGATTACAAATCAGTTCAGTTCCTAAATCTGTATTTAAATGCAATTTGTAAGTAGCAACAAGTATGGTTTGTCGGTCTTGGTATATAGTGCACCTTTTTCTAGGCATTAAAACATTAAAGAACCATTTCTAGACACACCAAACATATTTCACATAATAATATAGTAGCAATAATGATGTTTTGATGTACATTGCAAAGTAGCACTCCTTAGTTTCCATAAGCAAGCATATGTACTTGTAATGTTTTGTAAAATAGGGTTTACAAGGTACCACATACCTATCTGTGATTGGACAATGCCCAAATGGATATTTCGTGGTGCAAGGTTGTCAGTCTTTTCTTTCTCCTCTCTCCTCCTTCTTTCTAGTGTGCCACCTGGGCTTGAAGGCATGAGAGAACAGGACCTGTGCAACAAGACAATGGCTAAGATACTAGAAAATTATCATACCCTGTTTGAAGGAGAGCGCACAGAAAATGATAACCAGGTGTGTGACAACCTGGCCCGGCTTCTCATAGTCCAAGTAAGTAGCATTGTTGTTTAACTTCCTAGTACCGTTATATAACATATGAGTTGCTCTCTTGACATTATTATTTTTTATTCATTGAAAGAAAATCTGTCATTTTTATTTGAATTACTTTTTGTCAGAAGTCCGTGTCATCTTACTGTGCTTCTTTATGTTAAATTCCATTTGTGACATACATTCCTTCTGCCAAGTACATAATTTAAGTGATCTATCTACTTCTAAGATTGCGGAGTGATAGTGATTTTCAGTTTTTCTTCTACAATCAGACATCTCACATGAGCCACGCCACTCTCTCCTGGATGCCTGCTATGGTAACAGTGTTATGTGCGTGGCTGAGTTCAGGAGTCTACCTTATTAACATGATAGAAAATTCCTGAAGATAATGTCACTGGAAGTCTTTTCGTCTCTCCTGTGTCTGGCACATTTTCAATTTCCACCTCAAATTTTAAGTCCCATATATGTAATTCTTGGGAACCATCACAAGTAAAGCCGAGTATTTTAAAGATGTGTAAAGGAGTCCTTGGTAATGCCATTTAAGTCTTTTTACATACTTTATGCTAATTCACAGCCTATCTCTTTACACATTAGGGAAATCTTGTAGGTCTATAAAGATCTGCCATGGAGAAGCAGAGGACAACGTATCTAATTGAATCCTGGAGAAGTAAAAAGAGCGGGCAGGCATGCTATTTCACTTTCATTCATGCAGAGGCAAATTGTGCAGGAGCTGATATGAGAGGATTCCTCTGGAGGTCTTCTGAGATTTATCAAGTGTACAGACCTAAATCTACTTGTTGATTTATATGGAGATGAATGATAAACTCATTGAAGAGGGGTTTTATTTCTTCTTTCACTTGAGGTCATGACTTTGAAAAAGGTAATGGGTATCAAGTAGCATCCCATGCAAATAGTAAAAGACGACCCAAACTATGCTTTCTTGACTGGGACTCTATCCCTTATAAAGGAATCTGTGTTAATAAGTTGAGTATATTTCTTGGGAACTGAGATTGGAATGCATTTAGCTGGAATCTTGCCAAACCAGTAAAATGAACTTTAAACTGAAACTTGAGGTAAGGGGAGAACAATACTCAGGTAAAATGAGACACTTTGGAGAAAAACAAGTATAACCTCAGCCAGGGGGATAGATAAAACAGTAGTTGAAAAAAATGTGTCGCCAATTCACAAGTAAAAATAACAAAAAGCATTTATTTCAGTTTTACTGCAAAGCATTTTTTAAATAGAAAAATAAACTCTTTTAAGGTTTGCTCTTTTTTAAAAAAAATCATTTTATTGCGGGCTCGTACAATTCTTATCACAATCCATACATTCATCCATTGTGTCAGGCACATTTGTTGCCCTCATCACTCTCAAAATATTTGCTTTCTACTTGAGCCCTTGGTATCAGCTCCTCATTTTACCCCTCCCTCCCTGCCCCCTTCTCTCATGAACCCTTGATAATTTATAAATTTTTATTATTTTGCCATGTCTTACACGGTCCGATGTCTTCCTTTACCCACTTTTCTGTTGTCTGTCCCCCAGGGTGGGAGTTATATATAGATCATTGTGATTGGTTCCCCTTTCCTCCCCACCTAATACCCTCCTGGTATCTCTACTCTCCTTATTGGTTTATCAGTTCTGGATTCCCTGTGTTTCCAGTTCCTATCTGTACCAGTGTACATCCTCTGGTCTAGCTGGATTTGTAAGGTAGAATTGGGATCATGATAGTGGTGGGTGGAGGAAGCATTAAAGAACTAGAAGAAAGTTGTATGTTTCAT